TAATCGCGATCCTATTCCGCCCGTAATGTGCGAGTGTCTGTAAAAACGCGCTGGTTCTTACGTGTAAACGAGACTTTACTTTCTCAAGCACGCGACCGCCGTCACTCCTCTCCTTTATATACGTCGGTATACTGCGTTTCTTACTTTCTCCTCTGGGTCGGCTGAAAAGTAGGTCTCAAATAGGATTAAGCGATCGTTTAGGGACCTTGTCGCTTAATCTGTCTTTTTCTTCAATCTTTCCACGTTTCTAATCTATCTGTGATCGCTAATTCGCGCCGATTTCAAATCACGGATAACAATTGTCACGTTTAATTTTTGATATTTAAATGTAGCATTTTTAATGATCAAGTATTAAACTAAACGTGAAAATTAATAGTATACACGTGTACCTGTTTTAATGAATATTAATGAATATTATTTTGATAAAAATTTGATCTATTATTACTCTCTTATTCGTTTACCAGAGGTATTGTTCGGTTCGTCATTTTTTGAAACGTATTTGTTCATTTTAAATTATTATTAAATAAATATATAAAAACTTCTTTTTCAAAGAAAGATGTTATACAATATATTTTGGAAATAAATTTATTTTAAATAAATACATCTATCTTATATTCATTTATCTGTGAAATATATTGAATAATATCTTTCTTCGTAGAAGAAGTTTTTTTATATATTTATTTATTTAGATTAAAATATATTATATGTTACGTGTACTTATATATCGTTTATTTATTTTTGAAATATATATATCTTCCTTCAAAGACAGTGGCTAAACTTTGGAAAGAGTTGCGCAATCGGTATCTGTGGGTGAAATTTGTAAAAGTTAAATATAATGGCACGCTCAGCGGCACAGTTCCACGGTTAAAGAGAAACTGAACTCGGTAAATATCTCACGTTGAAAATTTATAGTAAAACTGCGAAGCACAAAGTTTACGGGTGAAAGCTGTCTGATAAAGTGTGAACTGCTAGGTAAACGATTTAATATCGTCCGATGATTAGAAATAATTAACGAACAAATATCTAACGAGTTCTCAAACAAGTTCTTTATCGGAAAAGTTATCGCTCGAGCAATTAATAGTATCTATAAACTATCATTTCAATTTCAATTAATTTATATTAGGCAACGCAAGGAAGTTTTGTCACTTTTTTAATTTTTCTTCTTTTTCGTGCAATTTAGAAAGATATTATAGTTATTCCTATCTCACAGAAATTGCATAATATTTATAATAATCTATTTATCATTGTCTATTTATCTTCTGAGGTAATTATGAAAATTCTATTTTTTTTTTTTTTTTTTTTTTATGAAGAGGAAAATGCGAAAAGTTGTTCGTTAAAGTAGTAATAGTTGTTTTTGATAAAAAAAAATTATGTTCTTTTTGATATTTCTGTTTATTAATTCTTGGTTTTCTAATTGGATGCTTGTTAGTTCTCTATGAGGTTGTAGATGAAATAATGAAATTCTCAATGTAAACTTCAACATCTGTAGCTTCCTTGAAAGTAATATTAATTAAATCTCGACTCTCTAGACTCAATACATTTCGTTCATCAGCAGTTTATATAATGATTAGAATTAAATTATAGTTATAATGATTACAATTAAACTCTTTAATGGTAATGTAGCTTTTCGGTAACTCATTAGGTATATCTAATATTTGTTAGATCATTATCAGTATTAACACTATCTTTTCTTTTCTGATTCCATTTGCCAATACTATTTTATTATTCACCTAAAAATCACCATCCTTGCCAATAGTTTCCCTCAATTGGAATCTTACCTTTGTAGAAGAGACGTAGAAGCAAAACTGCGATGCTCCAAGGCACACGAACGATAACCTCGTTGCGTCGAGTATACTCGTCGGTGTGTCGTGCATATTATCTACTTTCTAATCGATACTGGGCCTTTGTCTCCCATGGAGAGTACCGCCAGTAGACCAAGTCCACTGCTGTGCATTCCATCACTTGGGTTCGTTCGATCACCCTGCTGAACGAGTTTCACAACCAAACAGAACTGCATCCTCTCTGTTCGGCGACATCGACAAGTTTCTTTAAGCTGTATCCTCACTCAAGCAACAATATCGTTTCTGATGTTTCCTGTTTCTTCAGAAAGTTACTTGTTCAATATTTTTCCCAAGGTTGTGTTTCTGTTGCTAGCAATAATCGTTGCTACTTGTTGTCCATCTTCATCCGATTCAGTAAGGATCGAAGAAAATTAAAAAATACAGAAGAACTTTTAGTCAGTTTAAAAATGAATTTTTTGCCGATTGAATTCACTTATTTCAACCTGAATTCATTACATGAACGAAAAATCGGAATAAGCGCGCTTCTGTTATATGAACTCTAATTGTATAAACAATTACTCTAAAAATTTAATCGACGATTAACTGTTGAAATATTTTTTTTGTATTTTATACAATTCTTGTTCAAACTTTTGCACGAGTCTTCGTCTTACTTTTGATGTTTGCGATCAAAAATAATAGAAATAAATTTATTTATTTAAGTAAACTAACTTTAACCACCTTTTTTTATAACTAAGTAAATTTTTAAATATTGGTTAATAAGAAATTAATTCCATCAATCGATTTTTCGATCGATCAATCAGCCACTAATTTTCCAATTGTCAATTAATCAATCAAGCAAACTTTTATTTACCGATATTTATTTTCCCAACTCACTTTATATTGCTTCAGTCTAGACAGAATTTTCCTGTTTGCTGAAGATATCTTGGCACATGCGACGACGAGGAGTTGCACGTAAGTTCCTTCAGTGAGGATAGAGCTTCATGCATCTTACTTTCGTTGCTTTCCAACTGGCTCTCTTCGTTTTCATCGGCGAAAGTGAATGGAACGCGTCGATGTTTCTAATTGGCATATCGGTATTCGACACTCAAACACGTTACGCTCGTAATCGCCGATATCGCGATACTAATACGCCGACGTACCTTTTGAAATTCCATCTTCTCGTGGGTGGGTGACGCTAAGAGGAATTTGATGAGACACGGGATCTGAGAGAATTTGACACAAAGTCTAGGAAAATGCCGGGAAGACGCTGGGATTGATAGAACAATTCCGTCCAATATCTTGAAAATATCTCTAGAATTTTTTAACAATGGATTTATATAAAATCTCTCGGGCTTTTTCTGATCTTAGATCTTTCCTTTATTTTCACGATCAATGGAATTGGATGAAAATTGATGTTTTCCCACTGCGAGATAGAAAACAGGCTTAGGTATTATTCGAATAAAATATTTGAGAAACGATTAATGAAATGACACAGCATTTTATTTGACTTGAAATAATATTGCTTCAGCTTGTTTGATGTAATTTTTGAGAAACAAATACGAAATACGATCAAATATAAAGTGCAATTTTAATACAATTAAGTATAAATAAAAATAATTAAGATAGTCGAATGTATTTAAAAATAATTGAAATAATTGCTTATTTGTAATAATGCATAGTATATAATTACTATTATTTAAAGTAATTATTTTCACTTGAATGTAAATTCACTGAAATCATCTTTTTAATTACATTCTATAGTTGCTTGTACAGTAGTTTCGTTGATTCTTTCGTTGAGATTACATATTATCTCATTTCAGCAAATTAATTTAAATTAAAAGAACATTATTTGTAAATGATTTATCCGATTTGGAAAGAGGATAATTATAAAAATGTAAAATTAAAAAATTGTGCAAGAAATTGAAACGCATAAAAACCCAAGTATCCAATCGTATTCTCTACAATTAATTACAATTAATTACAATTTTATACGTAGCGCAAATTAAACTATAAACATCTTCCCTTAAAAATTAATAATCCTCTGAGAAGCTTCTCCAAATCTCAAATTCGTCACAAATTTATTACTATGAAATCTAAAGCAACTGGTTTGGTCGAGAAAAAAAACAAAAATCCGTAAAAGCAGAGCGTAAACGATCGTGTCTCGCATTTTCCGCAAGTAATGTTTAATTATCGCGAACGAACCGTATTGATCTACAGGAGATCGCCGATACACGGCCACTTGACCGAGAAATAAAACTGTTACTGTTATCTCCGGTACAACCGCTTTCGACCACCTACTCGCGTCATTTGGAGAGAAAAGAAGAACAAGCAAAACAATCGAATCTAAATTCGCCGTTTAGATTACAATGGGAACTTGTTGTGCTCTTCAGTAGCTAATACTAAAAGCTGAATCGTACTATAAAAAGGGAACAAAATGGGAAACTCGATTGAAACTCGATATTAATAGAAGCGCGAAGAAGGATTAAGAGGAGAAACAAGAAAAGTGTTTTAAAGCGAATCTTGTCTGCTGAAATACAGGGGATGACGTTAAACGATGGCAAAGTAATGTTAAATAAAAGGGCAGAGATGTGACACAAAGGGCTCGTGGGATGCGGGGCGTTAATAAAGGAGAAAGGAACCCCTTCGAGGAATTTCCCGGCGGGCTGACCTAGTACGGGCCGTTTACTACTGCCAAGTCAGAGGAACTTTTGCAAAAATAATTAAGAAGCGTTAAACCACGTGAGAATGAAATGTTTATCCTCGAATGTCGTTCCTAATTATCCTGGCCTCGAAGATAATAAAAGATTGTTGCAACAATGGAAGAGAGAAACTGGTAGGAAGAATTTACGGTATAAAAAATTTAAAACACTCGTACTTATATATGTTTCTGCTGAAAAATTTGGAATCCTCTGGAATTCAATAAGTTGTATACACCACAGCTCAAAAATCCTAGAACACAAGTGTACTCCAGATTTTGTTCCGTAATTTTCTAAGTATTTTCCTTTCTAAGTAAATCGTTTCAGAATTTTTTAAAATCAACATCGATACTTTTATTATATTTTAAAACGAAAGGAACGCAACAAGATTAAATCATCTAGTCGAAAATCAAAATATGAGGCAGATATAAACGTAAATAGTACTTAAAAACTGGATTTGAGAAATGAGACTAATAATTAGTACATTACTGTATTCATATTTTATTATTTTCTTTCATCATATAACATATTGTATCTTATTTTATTATATTATCGTTCTATTTCATTTATCTTATCTCGTATTTCGTAGTATTTCTCAGAAAATTGCACGCGAAGATTAGTCTCCAATTAGTCCAAAAAGAAAATGATGCTCCAATCTTCCGACTGCACTTGTAAAAATTCACAAATATTACGCAAGCGGAATAACGAAGTAAATATAAACTGAAAACAGAGTGATAGTTTAACTCCCACGTGTTCCGCAATATCGCCATTTAAATAGAACGGGTGAAAAATCAAAGAGCGATCGTCACAGAATTAACAGAGTGAATTAAAAGGGTGGTGGTATCGGTTCGTAGCGAAAGCATAAAAGAGAAAAACACACACACCATCGCTCTATCGATGCGTAAACCGAAGCTGATATATATATATATATACTTCGTATTTTCTGCGCGTATCAACACTCGTTCGAATCGATTGAAAAAACAACAAATCATCGCTAAGGACTTTTGGAAAAAATTAAAACCCACTCGTTCCCTCTGACGCATTTCTCCTCTCGGTTCGTTTCGTTTGCGTAAAAGAGCCAACGAGTCCTCGCAGATGTCTGCAAAGGAACAGAAAACGAGCTAAAATCGTTGCTTGTTCTTTCGAGAGAAAAAAGAGAGAGAGAGAGAGAGAGAAAAAAATCGTCGCGCTTTGAGACGAGAATTATCTCTTTGTGTGCAACTTGTACGTAACGTTTACAATCTCGCGACAAAAGGGAGACTTCCTCTTCGCGAGGAATTTCTCTGACGATTCCCGTCTGCAGAAACGGAGAGGAAAGCACCATGAACTCTTCGAATTTCGAACAGTATGAACTTCGACTACCTCGATTTCATCAACTGCAAAATACCATGAATTTATATGAAATTTTATACGGAAGCTCCGCTTCAAATGTTGAACAACTGTTGAAATAATTATTTTCAATGGTACAAAAAGCTAACTGTGTTTCCACTCGCGGTACGATCTGTTTGAGAAGCTGCTGTTTGGTATTAGACGTTAGCCAAACTTTATAACGAGTATATCGTTAATAATTTCAGTGAGAATTCATTAGGCATTTTAAGCTCGGGATTATTTTCTGCTTCGGTGAAATTTATACCGCGTTAACGAGCAGAGAATATTACTTATTGGTGATTTCAATGCTGGGATATTACGTACTGATAATTGGAAAGTTTCGATTTTTGTCTCTTATTAACCCTCATTCGCCCCTTTCTTTTCTATTATTTATTACAACTTCGTCATCAGATATAAAATATTAAAATATAAAATGATATATAATTTGTACTTCATATTAATTCAAAGAACCGAGTTTTAAAATTCGAAATCAAATTCTAGACAACGACAAAATTCGTATCACGAATATGTTAAATTGATGTGTCTTTCTTTTATTATCTTTCTAATCAAAAATGTCAAAGATACATGTTGCATGTTAGAAAAACAATAGATGTTACGCGTGATATCGCAGATGATAGATAGATATGCTATAAAGTAATATGTGTCCTTTTGTGTCAAATTGACGCAAGGAACGGATGAGGGTCGACATTTAATACTAATTAAATTTGCACAAGTTACACGTTTCAAAATTTTTCACAAAGAGAATTCTTACCGAAATAATCCTAAGGTAGAAGATCGAGCTCGTTCCGGTTGCTGATGTCGTTCTCTCGATCGAGATCAACTTGATCCATGAAGTTGAGCACGGCGCTGAATCGATTCACCGACGAAACTGTCCGATAATCCGGTGGCGAGCGTTTACCGTATCGATCACCCCAAAAGAATCGATCTATCCTCGGTATCTCCACTTCCACCAATCTCGGCAACGATTTGCTCGTTTTCTGCGAGTTTTCGTTGCGACCGTACCTGCCTCCCGATACGTAGAAAGCATCTGAAGCTGAGATATTAAAATTACACAGAATTATTAATTGCAATTTCACTCGTTTATTTTAATAATAATTAACTGACTAAATTTCGTGTGAATGCACAAAGGTGAAAATAAAATTTAGTAAATATTCTTGTAGATTAATTTAGCAAGTAAATAGTGGATTAATTGTTGTTTAAGTTCCAGTTGTTAAATGAATTATTGACTTGAAATGTAAAGAAACAATACAAGAAAACTAGGTGATAAATTAATATAGCAATTATTAATCGACTGCAGAAACTTTGAGGAAAGAAAATACAAAATTAGAAAAAATTAGAGAATGTACGTAATATAAAAAAGTATATCAATGTTGATACAACATAAACAATTTTCGATCTCAAGATTCTATTCTCAAAACGAATTTACATGAAAATCAACCATCTATTTATAATTTACTAAAGCAATAACTTCCAAGCGATCTACAGCGATTTAAAAAACAGATTGTGAATTTTTGTACAGATTCGTATTTTTGAGAATATAAATAAAAAAATAAAACTTTGATAAAAAAATTGTTTATACAAATATTATAGAAACATTTTACTTTGAGTATTTTATGTGTTATAGTGGTATGACAAACAGTAGAAATATTTGGAAATCTATCTAGTCGACGACATATTATTTTGATCTAATTTTATTCCATTCGGCTCGAAGTTTCTGTTATTTTATCAAACAAATCTAATATATCGTGTTAATTATATCGTGTGTATTTATATTGTTGAAATTCATTCTATTAATTTCAAATGTCATAAACTCAAGCGAAATTATTAGATCTCTTAGATTTTTGATGATGATTTTAAAGATATAAATTTACATAAATTACTAACGAGTATAGTACCTTCTTACACTGTTAGTATTACATGTTAACGCAGATCATAATTAACTGCTTACTAATTAAATGATCTGATAATGGCCATAAATCTGTTGCAAATTTGAGACAGCTGCAAAGTTCAATTTCAGCTAACCCAAACACCTCTGTCTTATAATTATGTGTAATTACGTATTTGAGAATCAATTTCTTATTTATAACTAGACATTTTTGCAAATAAGTAACAATACTTTAATGTAACGGTTTTTAATATCTCAGCCGGAGGTAACGAATCATCGTTATCCAAGATGGACAAACATTTCAAGCTTCGTAAAGTTTCTGGTATATTACAATTTCCACCAGACGATAAACGATTCTTCGCTTTTTGTGTCACACGAACGTCAATAGCTAATTGCTTCGTTGAATCGAATTTCACAAGAGCGTTCTTGCGAAAACAATTATCATTGACTGTCAAGTATACAGGACAACGCGTATTTTCTTTGACCCGTTGTTACAAAAAGGATAAATATAAAAGTAGCAACGAAGCAGAAGACGAGATGAGAACGGCGAAGAAGCAAAGGAGATATGTTGGAGAAAAGATTTCCGTAATTGGAAGTACGAAGGGAAACAGAAGGAATCGAAGCGCAATAATTAATTACGCTCTCGTCCAATGGTCTTAGGACAAGTATACTACATGTATTTGTTTCGAAGTTAGAAACAAAAAATTAAATAATACTCCATGCGGTAAAGAATCTGATAAATACTAATATATTGACAATTGTAAATTAAAAGATAAATGTGATTGTGCGATTAATTATATAATATAGTATCTAATAATAATATATACCATACTGTAGTATTATAATTTACTATTATAATAGTAAATTGTACTATTAGTACTGAAATATTATAGTATTGTATTAATAATAACAACTCTGTTAATACATTAACAATTGTATTATAAAATATACGTACAATTGAAAAACTTTAGTATCTATGATGAATATTTTTGTAAATACGAGTATATTGTTATTATTAGTTGTTAATAAGTGCATGTGGAAAATGAAATAATATACAATATATTGCGTTCTTTATTATTGAAACATAAAATAATATAAATTTACGATTATTAATATTAATATATTAATAATATATATAATATAATATTAATATGTCTGTTAATGACATATTGTGTTCTTTATTAAACACGAAACATGAAACAATGTACAATATATTGTAGTTAGCCGTAATTGTTTGTTGCATCAGTGTCAAATGAGAATTAATTCAATATCAGTACTCTAATTTTCTATTTGATATCAATCAAAGATATATATGTATATCAGTATTAAAAACTGATAAAAAAGTTAGTCGATCAAATTCATCAGTACTTCTGATTAAAGCCATAGTATTAAAAGGTTAAAAATTAAAGAGTGTTCTAAGAGTGCCTAAGCAGCAGTGTACGATGTATACATCGAAAGAAGGGTTGTATCTACAGAAAATTCCATTCCCGTTCACGCAATTCGGCAAATAGATCCGGTTCAGAGTTCCGGAAAGATCGAGTAGTTAGAACCCGGAAACTAATTGAAGAGGACCGCAAAACGACCGCGACTCTTTTGATTAGAACATTGCGCATGAAATGCGTGGCAGAAACTGAAAATACGAACACGGCTGGAAAATTAAAGATAAGCCTCAACGAGTGCAGAGGAAATAATACACACGTGCACGTAGTATCGCAGAAACTCGAACGAGCGTGCTATGAAAGATGGATCATACTTCAAGATGAATTTTAATTACTAGAGAAGGTGCATGAATAATTCTTAATTAAAATTTCTAACCACGATTAATTCTTGTAGAATTAATTCTGGTTGGATTGTTTCAAACGTACAAACTATAACGTGATGGTTAATGTCCCAGGAAAGAAAGAATGGGTCTATGGATTGTTCGATGTATTATATGTTAATTATGCTTTTTATAATTTTATTGCTTACCTGCGCGTGGTTCCTGCCTTTTACCGTATCGGCCCTGAATGTAAAATTTCTGCTGAGATGCGACCAGAGTTAAAACGGCACACGCAACCCACAAACACATCACGATCTCTATGCTGCTAAAGCACGGTACCAATTGCGTCTTCCTGCACCGTGAAAACATTTTCCTTTTCCTAAAAAAGAAGGGAAATCGAAATATTTCCACCGTTATTCTGATTGTTCTTGTTCTTCTCTATTTATTCGAATGTAAAATAGCTTACAATTATTTAAAAATAGAGAATACTGAGATATGTTGCATATTATAAACTACATTGCTATTATTCTTTACATGTATATTACAAAAATCGTGAAATATTTTTTATTATGAATGCACAATTAATTTGCCAAAATGTAAAAGTAAATCACTTTAAAAATTATTTTCACGTAATGTGTATTATTTTCTGATCTTGAAATAGTGTTTGATGTAGATATATAATTAATTTTTCGAATCTAACCTGACCAGAGAATGTTTGTCGAGTAACTGACTCGTATTAATTAATATTTTTCTAAATATAAAAATAAAACATTGAAATACTTTCATATAACAATTAATTTGGCAATATTACTAATATCAATATCAATAAATGTAAAATGTAATATAATAATATTTTTACAAATACGTAAAGTTTCTTATAAATATTATTATACAAATATAATATATATTACTGAGACATTCTTATATTCTAAAAATCATGAAATATTTTCATCATACAAAATTGATAAATTTTGCCGAATATAATCATTAAATTTTTAATAATTACCTCCTTAATAACTATTAATATATTTCCTTATACGTATCTGCTCGTTAATCCTCGAACAAAATTTTTCAATTCGCAACAAAGAATATTACTCTCTTCTTCTCACGGTTTAACCGTCCGAACTATTTTTTCTTCATCAATATTTATAACGAACGTCACCAGAAACGAAAACGAAGAGAATTCGAACTATCTCCGGGCGCTAAGGGAATTCTTTCGTTCGGCGATAAGACGCGTTACGCTTGGAAACGGAAGTTGAGGAACGCGAGACGCGAGAGGCACGGTCGCGGCGGATCGGATGAAAAAAAGATGTTTCTACGTTTCCAGACACGTTCCAGGGAGGAAAAAGTCTTGAAACGCGGATGAAGCAACACGTAAAAGCAACTGCGATGTACCATGATCCGTGAAACGCTTTATATAGTCGCTCCCAACCACCCACGAAGTGTTCAGGCACCCCTAACGGCGACCAATAGCGCAACAGCACAACGTGCCCTCTCCTCGCTGAATCCTCGATGACTTTCCTTCTGTTTCACCTTTTGCTACCTGTTACGAATTGAACAATAACATGATGATAATGACACCTGAACGCAGACGACACTTTTACATAGATTAACAATTTTTTAACGAGTGTCACTCTTGTATATTTAAAAATTTTTAAATGTTATAACTTCGTGAAAGGAAATCGTGCAACAATCAACTGGAGCTCATTTTAAAGCACGAAACTTTTATTTTTGCAGCGCATCATTTATTTTTTTCTGAGACGTTTTTACATCGTGTAGCGAATGGGAATGTGAAGATGCCTCTTCTATTAATTGTTGTAATGTGTGAAAATATTTGGAAAATATTTTTTATGTAGCTGAATTTATTATGGATTTGAAGATCGAAGCCTTTTCTTTATTGAATGCAAATGAGGTACAAGTCCGGTATAATTAAATTTGTGTTCGATGAAACAGCCAAAAAAAGCCTGCTGTTGCGTTCTTTGAATAATTTTCCACCCAATCGTATTTTTCTTTCGTTAACAAATTCCTTGAGTTTAAGAAAAAAATGAAATAGTAATTTCCATACGCGTTATATTTCGTTACAATTTTTTTTACTGAAAATTCTTATTCGTTACAAGTGAGATTTAGGCACGAATATTTTGAGAACTGCGACTGCCTTTTAGAATCGTCAAAATATATCCCGATTTTATCTTAACAATATTTGAAAACAATCCTTGAATTGAATATAAAAAGTAGAGAAAGGTAGACGAAGTTGAATATTTCTAAATTTGATCATGAAAGGACTATTGAAAAAGATCCCGTTTCTTTCATATTTATTTTGCTTCCTTAGGGTATAAGAAGTAAAGCAACTTTCAAGTGTTCGTTAATGTAGAACTAAAACGCTCGGAAGAATTTAGCTTTCATTTTGTTGGTAGAAACTTTAACATAAAATTGCAGAATGTTTGTTCATTTTTCTCCAAGGAACTTTAATTTATTCTGGGTAGGAGAAAAAAACTCATTTTTTCTTAATACCTAACCAGATAATCGTACACGATGAGAATAACTGCTGTCCAAATCCCTGTTGGAAACTATTTAGCTACCTGAACAACCTTTTAACCCGCGAGATAGAAAACGCGCTGTGTTTCCCCTACGTTCAGTTGAATTTTTTAAGTAATTACTGCAATATACATAAACAAACCGCGTTTTATTCACGAAAACACTTATTTCCTTTAAACAATGAAGTTTTAGTGGCGTTCTTTTTAGTACTCATTATCAGAGCCAAAAGTTAAATAAAAATTGAATAGAAATTTTAATAAATTTTCAAATAAAATTGAATCGGAAACCAAACTAATAGATTCATCATCTTTTTTTAACAGGTGTATAATTTGTATTTGAATTCACTGAAGATTTTTCTGAATTAGCATACAAAGATAACATGAATAATTGCAAATTTCGGAACAAATTTAAATGAAGAATTTATGATGTTCTTCTTTAAATTATGAAATTAGGTAATCAATATGACATTTAAGTGACTCAATTCTAATTCTATGTTAATCCTTGGAAGATGCGATCAGAGAGAATTAGAATAATACTATTGATCAGAAGGAATTACAGTATATAAACGAAATTTTTACTTCAATACATTCCTTCCAAAAATTAACTCTCGAATAGTGTCGTTGAATCACAAATGACTGTAGTAATTAAGATTACGTTACTACTATTCTTTATTAAAACATGTACTACTTAAATTGTATTTTATATATGTAGTTAGTAATACTACTTCCTATTTAATTTTAAATTACTAAAGTTTTTAATGTTATTTTACATTGGTAGAGATTAGTAGTAAAAAATTCGATAAAATGAAAAACTCTAATATCAATTTGATTTTAAATTCTTATGGTCTCCAATGATCCACATTAAATAAAATAAAATCTATTTAATTTAAATCTGCGAAATTTCATTCACGCTAACGAATGAAATTTCACTTCATATCCTTTTACCAAAAAATGGCAATTTGCCCCCATTAATGTGAATCCGATACCAAGGATTGAATATACTACCTGTGTCTCTCTTTACACAGTATTCCTTTACACAATTAACTTTTACCAACATGTTTTATTTACCTTTACGCAGATTCTTTTACAACACGTTCCATTTATTTTTGTACACGGTTTGCAAAATATATGAAAGTGTAAAAACATAAAATTTACATGCTTATGATTAATTACAGGCATGTGGAAGGTAATTAGTGCAGCTACATCGATATCACAGATCCAGATCCCTTCTTCACAAGATTAACAAGTGATCTATAAACAATTGAATCGCCAAATATCGAATTTATTCTTTTTCCCATAAATTTTAATGAGTTATCTTACATAAATAGGTATTTCTAATTACAATAGCAATGATCAAGTCTTTGTGTAGTCTGTTTTACACACTTCTTATCTTAAACATACGTATCCATCGTATATTACAGACGTATATTATAATTATATTTACAATTGTTATAATTGTGTGTATGGTACAATTAAATATAAAATATAAAATATATTTATAATTATAATGATCATTAATTATTAGTTCTGACAGTAGAATTATAATATTTTAATTCTAACAAACCATCGTCAAAAGAAATAACAGTAATGCTCAAATTGTCTCATCTGAACAAAATTTCATTCCAGCACATTTTTTCTTAATTTTTTACAATCCCAAAAACGTGCAATTCCATTTTTTTACTTATAAATAAATATGACTGCGGATTTTTATTCATGATAATTTAATTTAAAATGTAAAATAAATTTAATTATAACGTACCATATAAATTTATTCGTTTAATAAAAAGAAATTCTTATTTCACAACAAAGCTTTTCAGATGCATACATCCGCAGAAACAGCTTATTATAAAAAGTATTACGAACTAATTAAATTTCTTTCATCTCTTTCTTCCCATTTTTGACACAAAGTGCAGGCTTGGATTTTCTAGGTTGCTAAAGAAAGTTCAAAACAATTACGCAATATAATGTAATACAACAAATGAATATTTTAAATATTATACAAACTATTTCGCGTAATTAGATGAAACTGCATCTTTCAAATATTATGAATCAAAATTAAATAGTAATATTCGATGAAATCTAAAAATAATTTTGTGCATTTCCATGCACTTGAAAAATGCAATTGCGTCGTTTCTGATTTTGCAATTGCTTCCATAAAAATCGGCAGTCAAACGTTTACTAAACTATTTGAGTGTATTTGAAGACGTCACACATGGAATATAATAATGATATATTATATATATAATGTAGTTGGTAGATATTGCACATATATAAATGAATATAACAATTCTAAAAACTGTTTATTGTAGGAGGTGTTAGGTACTAAATTAAATCCCTTTCATCTCTTTTCTTTCCTCGTCTTTAACAAAAGTTACGAAGAGTACGATTACATTGGATTTTCCAGGTTGTTCGAAGTCCCGATCAAGAATCTGCCGAGTGTGGTGCTCGTAAAACGGCCACCACATAAAACGAATGACGAAAGGAAATCTTCTATATACGTGTGCTCTTTATTCGCTGGCCGTCAACGTGATCTTGATGGTTCGGAAACCAACTGCTCGATGGACATTCTTGGTTTTAAAGAACGTGTAAGACGATCGTTTACGACCGGGACAAGATGCATCGATAGTCGATCGATTTTTAGAAGACAGAAACCATCAGTGAACCTACGTTCCTTTTTAGCGTTGGCGGCTTTTCTTGGAATGAAAAAAAAAGAGGTATTTTTATCTTTCGAAACGTGAATATAATTCCAAGATTAATATGATTGTACGTAAAGGTATGCAATTCTACGTTGAGAAAGAAATATTCTGTTCAGAAATGTAATTTCATATAATAGAATTTGGTTCAAATAATTTTATACAATAATATATTTCATATACTACAAAAATATATTACTTGCTTCATTCATTACCTTAAAATAATGTTTTACTTGAATAAGTAAATGAGTTCTATTCTTATTTCAAATAAAGTAATTTTTAGTTTCAATTAGTATCTGTCGAAACAAGTTATTATTTGTAAAATATGATGAAAACATTATTCAATCAAAAATACTTAATACTTGTTTTTCTGATTTTGATTCTCTTATATGAACTTTACCTTTATCTTTAGTTGGAGTTATTTGTCATATTATTTCAATGGATAATCTCGCGTAACAAATAATTCATTTAATTTAGACAAAAGATACAATATTTACAAATATTATTAAATTTTTGTTAATGTATGTTCATTTTGTAATCGTACAATCAATATTATTCCTCTACGCTCACAATAATCTCGCTGCTCATTAATGATTCTGTAATCTACTTATAGATATACAAATATATTAAAAATTCGTGATTGTGTCACTGCTAGCGAAAGAGAAAACTATCCTCTCGTATCACTCCGCCAGCGTTAAGGCAGAATTAACGAAAAGCCAACTTGACGAATTAGAAAATCTCCACGGCGAGACAGTCTTCTTTCGATTTCTACCTTCATTAACACTCTACTACCAAAATTATTCTGGACGCAGCAGCCAGATTTCTATTCTCGCCAACTTGTATCTCGATAATACAAATTCCAGTAGAAAAGCGAAGATAGAAACAAGCTGCGAAACAACTGCTTTTGATTTTTATACGTATGAAAAGTCAAAAAAAAAAAACTTTATTCCTACATCGTTGTAAAAATATTTTAATAGGACAAATACTGTAATTATGTAGTACTTGTGTAAGTGCAATTTGTAATTTTTTTGTAAGAATTGTATCATATTATTCTGCTGTTGTACTATTATACGTATAATATTATGTTATATTATTATATTGTACTATTATACGTATAATATTGTTATATTATTATATTGTACTATTATACGTATAATATTATGTTATATTATATTATTAAACTACACTATATTATACTATTATACTATGTTATATGATATTATTATACTACACTATACCTGATATATTATCACGACGATAATAATATAATAATGTTATAATACAACTCAAATAATATAACATTGAACAATTTTCTAACTTTAAATGTCAAAGTGATTAGAGAGAATAATAATAGTAACATAATAAAATAATTTTTCATACTGATATTATAAACTTACAACAGCGCATTTTTATGTATTTGAGTGACTTATAAATATTAAAATATTTTGTACAATATTCAATTTGTAACTACGTTCTTTGTAATTTACAATAGTTAGAATAATCATTCAATAGCAAAGTGATGGAAACGAACAATTTCTAATTTCTCTCTCTTTTTTTATTGAGTGATAAGCTTCTTCGTTTTGCATTGATAAAATACATACATTTCAGAAAGTGTACCTATAAAGATAAATGTACCCATAATTTTTATAAAAATCACATTTACAAAGAAATGATAAATAAGTATCATGAATTACTAAATAATTGAAAAAACAGTGCCGTTTACGATTACTTTCGTAATTTTATGTTTATTTATTTGCTTCTTTATTTATTATACTTATGTAAATTATAGTTCTTATAATAAATTTATGTAAATGTTACCTTATAATATTGATATATAAATATTTTGACACTTTATGTTCGATGTAAAATAATATTGTAAATTAAATCTAGAAATTTTAAATAAATATTTAAATATTTCATACTGTATTCAATTTTTTTATAAACCTTTCTCATGAATCTGATGACAGTACATTTGTTTAAATGAGACTTAAATAATTAATAAATCTAAATAAACAGTTCATTTCCAGTTGATCAGTTCAGAATAAGTCCTTTGGATATAAATTTTGAAATACAAATCGGAGAGGGTGAAAGTCGAAGGTGCAATTAAAATAATTAAAAATAATGCAACTGCAAAAGTTTAATAAATTAATTTCATTAATTAGATTTTTTGCAAATTAAAATTTATGACGGATGGAACGTAGCATAATCTACTCTTGTTGCACACTATTGCGTTCCTCGTTTAAAAATCAGGTCGCTGATTCGGAATTCATCTATCAGAAATTAGCTAAATCTCGAGAAAGTAACAGGAATATAGAATGTACAAAGAGGTATCTGAGCTCCTGTTAGAGAGCGAACACGATACTGCACGAAAAGGAAAGACATATTTCTCCTTCCAATCTATTGAATTTTCACTAATGCTTCAATTTCAGGAAGAATTCATGCACTTTTGGAATTAAAGAATGCAGGACAGACCTTGAGTAACGTTCCTTTATAGTTTTGGATACGATTTTTCGTTTAATTAATTAGTTATTAACAAATATGTCAACA